ACCTCTGGTGCAAATTACTGACCTCTGTCATCATTTTAAGTGGGGGAACTTGCACAATCGGTGGCTGACTAAATACTTTTTTGCCCCACTGTATGAGTAAAAGAGGGGCGCTGCACTGCAAATATCACGTTACAGGAAAGCAGAAAATTCGTAACTGGCCTCTGAAAGAAATTAAATTAGCTTTAGATTGCTTTATATTACTAAAATATCATCAATATGAAGAAAGTATTTGTGATTCCTATCCAGTGATCTATTTCACCAGTGCAGGTGCTGCTTCCTGGGGCTCTTTGTTGTCGACAGATGGTTCTGTGTCCTTGGATTGCTCCAACACAAAGGTCTCGAGTTTGTGTTGTGGCCTGGCCTGAAACATGACAGGATGAAAATATGTTAATGCTCTTCATTATTGACTGAGAGTTGCTATTATGTGTCTTTTCTGCAGAAGGTTGATTCAACCTTTGAAGTGACCCAAAGTGTAAAAGGGCAAGTTCAAGAGTTCAGGAGTTTGTACGTACCTCTGCTTCAGCTCTCATCCTCATCTGTTTCATCTCCAGGTGATATTGCTGTCTAATGAGATCGAGCTGACGCAGGTACTCCTGCAACCACACACACTCTAAAAGCCACTAGAAAACATTCCTAGGAGAGTTTTTCTGCATTTCTTTATTTCTGTAAACACATTTTTGTCCTTCATTTAGATACTAAACATAACTGCTCACTTTAATGGCTGCTGTGTCTTGTGAGTGTGTCCCACCTGCTGACCCCCTTGTCTCTTGTCCAAAGGCATATGTTGGTGTTCAGGTTTGCCCACCTCCTGCTCTTGACCACCAGGCTTGCTGTTGCGCTCAGCTGTACATGGACGCAGACCCTGAACAACAGAAAAGCGAAGGCTAAAGGTAAAAGTGGCTAATCGTTGTGAAAACTGTGCCACTTTCATTTCTTACAGTATAGTCTTACAGGTAATAAACTCTACTGTGCATTAGTACAGTTTAATAGTGAACAGTTTTGATGTACTTGTATTCCACTACACTAACCACAACACTACAGCTCCGCTTATAGTTAATACACTAATAGAAGAGTAGATATTCCAGCAACAGTGTGTGGAGGCACAGAGCTTGGTCCTACCAGCTGTTTCTCTGCTCTCAGCTTGTAGTCGTTGGCCTCCTGTCTTCTCTGCAGGTATTCATTTCGAGCGGCAGCCACACTGACAGAAGAAGATTAACTGTTACTTTAGTTCAATTCAATTGTATTTATATAGCGTAAAATCACTGAACAGGTGCTTAAAGGTATTTTATATTGAAGGTAAAGACCCTACATGGGTTACAGGGAAAACACCAACAACTAGATCACTGTCTTTGAGTAAGCCTTTGGCGACAGTGGGAAGGAAAACTCCCTTTTAACAGGAAGAACTAGGCTCAGGGCATCTATCATGACCTGTTGGGGTGAGAACAGGAAGACAGGGCAGGACCGTTCTTCTCCCTTGCAAAAAACTCTTATCTACTTGAAAGCTGAACAGCTGCTGACTGTTTTTATGAGTCACTGCTTTTTACATAAAGTGTGCTGCTAGGTCCTAGTATGAGTGCAGTTCCAAATTTATGGTCGTCTGGATGAAGGCTGGTCTAGTTTTGGAGACTTTTCCCTGATGCTAGGGAATCAGAGCTAACCAAGAAGATATAAAAAATTATCTTTTTATTTCTGTAATAAAAGATTTTTAGATTTTGGACGGTGACAAAGACTAGTATGCATGTGCAACAGTGAGCAAAGCAAAGCTCAACCCACCTGACAGAAAAACTGTTTGCAAAAAACCTCCATCAATGGCCACAACACACGAGTGTTTTCAGATCAAAGTGTAGAAATGCTAAACATTTTGCCCAATAACTGAATGTGTGAGGTGTGAACACACAAAGTATGTTTAATGTAAAGATATGTTTATGGTATATTACCGTTTTATCCCATTTAAGTACTTAAAAAGAACCTTTAATGGCTGTATGTACAGCTGAAACAAATCATCCATTAATGAAGAGGAACTCAATTGACAGCTATGCTACTGTAATGATAGCTGGATGTACTTTCTATCCTATTGTTTTTATTGGTTGATTTAATTTAAAGTTTTTACAGAAACTGTTTCCTGAATAATTGTTAGTTACAGGTGTACTGGTCTTTGGTCACTCACAGCTGATATGGTTCCACAGAACAAGGAGCAGCTTGGTCTTCACATTGCTCCTTTGGTCTTTCCACAGGAGGAAGAGGAAGAGGAAGAACATCCTCTTTGTTCCTCCTCTGAAAGGCATCCAACTGGGCGTGGTAATGCTGGTAATGGCTGACAGGCTGCTGACCATTAAACCTGTAATTAATATTACATATTATACATGCATGATAAACCATCATCATTAAGTGAAGCTAATGGTTGATTAACCAAACCTGAGATCTGTATCTGTATGAATGATAAGAAACATACAATAGAGGTATAAGAAAGTACATCCTTTCAATTCTAAGGTTTTACATATCAGGACTTAACTTGATGAGCTCTGGAGACTTGATGATGATCATTTAAATCAAGCACATTTGATTAGCAGCACATGGCTGCTACTTACCCACTTAATTCCCTCTGCATCAGCTAAGGATCTACTTTGTCATACACTGCTTCTGCATTTTGGCTTAATTTTTGTTAAATATATAATGACATGGTGTAATTTGTCTATGTTCAAATCCAGTCTGGGGACTTTCTGTGCAGAGGTTGCATGCTTTCCCGTGTCTGTGTGGGTTTTCCCTAGGAACTCCGGCTCCTTCCCACAGTCTAAAAACATTCTTGGGGTTAGGCTAATTAGTGATGCTAAACTGGCCATACATGTGAATGTGAAAGTGAATGGTTGTCTGTCTCTCTGTATTAGCCCTGTGACAGACTGATGACCTGTCCAGGATGTACCCCAGCTCTCACTGTATGAAGCTGGGATGGGCTCCCCAGTACCCCAACCCAAACTTGAACTGGATAAGCAGAAAAAGGGTAGATGGATGTAATATGTCATGTTCATATGAGGCTGCGGCTAGCTATTATAAGCTCTAATTTTTTTTACAGATCATCTTGAAATAAGATGCACTTAAAGCTGGTCAGGTTACACAGCTGTAAACAGAAGTGTCAATATCAGGCGGGAATAGGACCAAAGGAGTTACTATGCGTTCACATCATTCTGAGCAAACCTTTGGATCCCTGGAAACTCTCTATTGGCTGCTAGTTGTGCTTCTCTACGTTGAGGAGGCTGCAATTACAAACAAATGCAGTATTAATACAACAGAAATACAAGAAAAACTAAAGAACTGTATTATACCGACTGAGCTGTGCTTCCATTGCTTTACTGCAGCTTTGTTAAAAGAACAAAGAATTCCAGTAAAGCAAAAATCATGCTTGGGTGATACGAGCTCTACTCCAAATCTGAAAAAGCACCTACTAGCTAAGTACAGCAGTTCCACACCACTGGAGGTACAGTAGTTAAAAATAAGCTAGCAAGTCAAGCAAGTCATTAACCGCTGAAACTTACAAAGTTACTTTTTTATGGTGGTAATCAGTGAAACTGTGGATATTGTTTCCATGTTATTACTTTATGGTGGGTGGGTGTGTAGGCTTTGAGAGGGACTTTCCAATCTGGTCTAGCAGGCACTCGCTTGTTGGCATTCCCCGGCCTCTCGGCTACTCTAGCCTTCTGAATCTTACCTGGAAAACATGAGAATCTTGAGTTAGAATAACAAGGAGTGGGCTGTTTTTTGCTGTCTGTGAGCACTTTTCTTGGTTTCTGTGTTTTTAATGTGTCACTTTCACACATGACATAAATGTAGGTTTATACATGTATACAGTGGGGGGGGGGGACTGCTTTGACGGTGCATGCAGTTTTTCATGCACTGCTTTATTGATTAAAAGAAAAAGACTAAACCACTCACACAACAGGTAAAAATAATGTGCAAGTGTTGAGACAAATAAGTTAGGTAACCATTGTGAAGGAGAAAGTGAAAATAAACACCCCCTCAGTGATTTGTCCTTGGGCTGTGCGCTGATGTTATCAAAACACAATGTGAGCCAGGATGTAAGGTGATTACATTTAGTCCAATCAGGTTCCAGATCTTCCCCAACAGTTACTGAGTGATACGAGCGGACAGGAGTTTCCCTGCAGCTTATCAGATGTGTTGAAGGACAGTCGTGGTGTGGATAAGCTACCACTGGGTGTCACTACAGTATACACAATTGAAGACTTAGAACAGAACTGAAATTATTAAGAGATTCTCTTACTGCTCTTATACCTGAAGGCTCTGCTGATGTTTATCTAATACAACTCTTAGTGCTTGTACTATAAAAAGTAATGCAAAAAGCTTTGGAAAAAAACACTCCTGCATCATAGACAGTGACTGGAAAGACACCACAGGGAATTATGTTTGATATGTGCACACAGCATACAGAGGCATCCCTACAGCTATGCTTTATGTTCTTTAAATTATTTTGAAAGTAAATTAAAACATATAACCATCAATAAACACATCAGACTAACATCTGAAGCCCCTGAATTCGCTCTGCACCATAACAACATGGTCCAAGTCATAATGAACTATCTTGAGCAACACAACAGAAAAAGAAGTACAAGCAGAAGTATTGCAGCAGATGGTCTGGGCTGTAAGGAGTCTTGACCTCAACATCATGGACACAGTCTAGGAATAGAATAGGCAGAAGATACTGACACAACCTAAATCAGAAGGGGAAAAAAATCAAAGCATGTTTTCCAGGAGATGTGTGAGGGAAAAAAGCTGCCTTCCAAGTAATTTAAAATTTTGTATTGTAAGTCCAGCTGCACCTTGTGTTTTTGCTGCTCCCCCTCTTGTTTTAACTGGTTGAGACCCCACAGCTTTGTTTCTATGCAACACGGTGTGGCTAAACTCCTCTTGCATCACCTGCTCACACACAAGAAATCACAAAAACAGAAGCAAACCTGCACATTCATATATGTATTTATCTGTCAGAGATTTTTATGACCAAGTCAATACCTGGAATTTACAAACATTTAAACTAACACACTATATCATTTCATGTAATGTGAGATCTGTTTAAATTCATGACCCACGAAGTTCTGTCTGAAAAACAAAACAATTCCTGAAATCTGAATTATCTAAAATCTCAATTAATCTCAATTAATATTTAGTAATGTTTCAATCTGTTTGACAAATATATTGGGCACTGAAAAAATATTTAAAAATATTTATAACTAAGTAGTTGTTTAGTATTATGCCCATATAGTACTATTTTTTAAGAAATTTGTTTGCTGTGCTTGTATGATCTTGATTGATTGATTGATTGATTGATTGATTGATTGATTGATTGATTGGTTTATATGTGTTTGATTTTGTTTCATGAATTAGTGACAGTGCTAATATTATCTTATTCCTAAACTATCTTTTTTATGTTGTAAACATGAACAATTTCCTTTTACTGAGACGATTTGATCAATAATCAATAATCTGTGAACCAATC